GGGAAGTGGAGGGTCAGCTGACCCTGACCAGCCACTCTGGTGACAGAGTGGGTGGAGGGCTAGGCCCTGATGGAGGCTTCAGGCCAGCCCTGTCTGATCTGGGTGGTCAGCTGTAGGGGCAGCAGGCCAGGATGAGTGACTGCTGGTTAGGCCAAGGACTTGAGTTCAAGGCCACAGTCTGCCCAAAGGCAGCACCCCAAGGGCTGTACCTTTGCAGTAGATTATGCTCTGTTTACATTTATCTGTCTAAAATTGTTATCCAGACAGCAGTCGGCTCTTGCAGTCCCATTCTGGGTCATGGTTGGTTTGTTTCTGGGAGCCCTAACTGAATTTTCATATTTTCAAATGTTGGAACTTTAGTTTAGCTGTACTTTTTCTAGCATTTGGAGCAGTTATAATGACAGCTTTCCTGTGTGCATGTTTGTTTTGGTTCTGCTACAGGTTTTTCTTTTTGTCCCCAACTGAACTCCTTCTTAACCAGGGTGTGTGCACCTGGGGATCCAAATTCCCCTGCTGCTCCTTTTCTGGAATTAAGTGCTTTTTCCTTTTTTGGTGCTTGAGTAATGCTAAGAAGCACTCACCTGAGGTTCACAATGCATGTTAAATGCATAGTTCTGGAGAGCATTTCACTGCTGCAGGAGGCAGTAGACAAAATAGTCTAATATATTAATACTGTTCCTACTATATATCCATGTTGGCTGCAGCTGAGATCCCATTTTTGTTTAGTTCAGTCATTTCTGTTTTGAGACCCCTTTTTTAAGAACATGTAGTACCTGGGGATTGAGGTCTCCATTACTGGTTACATGAATGCTCCTTTATGTTTAGCAAAGTGAGAATTTTCTCCCCACATAGGCACATCAACACAGTGGAGCTCCAAATGGAAGTGACCAAGTTCCTGCATCGGTGTGAGAGCTCGGGGACCTCTCAGCTAACTAGCTTACCCTTGCCCACGCTTTTTGGAAATAATAACATGAAGATGGATGTAGCTTGCAAGGTATTGGCAGCCAGTTGAAATGTATCGCTCTTTCTCTGAAAATACAAACTTGACACTTAAGCTTGACCTGTGTTGTGGTTTAAAGGACAACTTTAGCTCCTAGAGCACTAATCTGGCACCTCTTCTCAGTGCAAGACTCACTGGAAATCACACTCAAGTACAACTTGGAGATGTTTGTTCAGGATATTATTTTAAATAATTTTTTAAAAATTACAGGGTTGGAATAGACTTTGAGGGTTATCCAGTCTAACTCTTTGCACAGGTGCCAGGTATGCTATTCCTAGACCAGTGATTCTCACCCAGGGTGCCATGGCATCCTGGGATGCCTTGATCTTTTCAAAGATGCTACCGAGTGCCACAGAACATTACCACTTCTAGGTGTGCAAACATGATTCACAAGATTAATGCAATGGATTCCTATTTCTAGGTTGAAAACATGCTGACCTGTCATGGCCTTTCTGAGTGCTTAGTATAACAGAAGAGTTTCTCTAGTCAAAAAGTGTGAAAACTAAAACCTGGTATTTTCTGAGGGGTACCTCATAATTAAAAAGGTTGAGAGCCCCTATCCTAGACCAGTGGGGGCAAACCTTCTTAACAGGCATGCCACAAATTAGCCTTGCACTTTCCTTGAGTGCCACTCAGATCCCCTTCCCCTGCCCAATCTGCTGCTCTTTCTGGTTTCTACCCATTGTTCCCTGTCTGATCTACTGTTTTGCTTTCTGCTTCTTGTCCTATCACTGCTGCTTGTTCCCTCCCTGATCTGCCACATGCCACACACATGCCTGTGCCACTTGTGGCATACTTGCCACAGGTTTGAGCTTCCTCTCCTTTTAAAAAGCTTGAAGTAAATTCTTTTCACAATCCAAAAGTCTAGAGGGAACTACTTCCAAATAGTAATTACTAGTGCCTTCTCCTTTTTAATGCACTGAACTCTACAGATGAAAGATGATTTTAACTATAACCAAAGGATAAGAAGTAGCTGGCTTAGCATTATCCAGTGAGAGTGGCTTAATTGATTATGTTACCCATGTCTGTGCTTTTCCTGTGGGTGCTGCTGTCTCCCATTGTTGAAGGTGCTTTTGGCAAGCCTATAAACTATATTTGGGTGAAAGTTATCACAGCCCCAAATTCTTTCTTCAGATGGCAGTTAAGTACCTGTATTGTTTTGTGTTTGGGATGTCAAGCTCCCCTTGCATCCTGTGCCAGATCTGGACAGCAAGGCTCCTTGTTGCAGCCCAGGGTACAGGGGTGTTTTCATCCCCAGGGGCATGCAGCAGTGGTGCATCTGGCTCCAACCTGGGCACATAGTGGAGCTCCAGCATAGGGTTCCTTGTGCCCTATGCTGGAGCTAGAGTTGGAGGCAGCACCGCTGCATGCCCTATGTTATGTTGGCAGTTCTAGCTCCAGCATGGGACCCATAGCAGGTCAGCATGGGGCAGTGGCAGGGCTGATGGCCAAGGAAGTAGGGCCACACCAGCAATGATGGGTGAAGCCATCAGCTTTCACTTGACCATCTGCTCCTGCTCGCCAAGTCTTCTGTGGCCCAAGGCCCCTGAATTCTGCAACAGGCCACTCCCTGGCCATGCCCTCCAATTTGTGGTGGCCTGCCAGTAGCCTGGTGGGCCAGATAAAGCAGCTGCCTGGGTCTTATGTCTGACACCCCTACTTTGAGCAAATGAGCAGTTTGCATATTGCTGAGTATGTGTGCTGCTGTCCTACAGTTGACCATTGCAATTTCTCCTTAGGTCATGTTGGAAGGGAAAAACATTGAAGAAGGTTTTGGAATTGCATTCAGAGTCCTCCAGGTATGGGAAACCTGAGCTGTTGCTGCAAGTAATGTTGATCCTTCTATGAAGTACCATAGTTAAGCATGGGACCCTTAGCCACATGCACCTTTGTCCTAAAGGTTTCAGATCAGTCACTATGTTCACGTAACACAGACACTTGCCTGCTGCATAGATCCTAAACTTCTGTGTCTTGTCAGGGACACCTTTTTGGCAAGGGTATGAACTGTCTGGCTTTAAATTAGCATTAGAGTAAAAAGACCTCAAATTTACTTGCCATTTCTTCTTTTTGTTGAGCTTATTTTTCAAGAGAACTCTCTTTCAAAACTGCAGTGATGGCCCTGGAAGCTCTAGGTCAGCCAGAGGGCTGTGTCTGAACACAGTGGTGCCTGTTCATCCTACCAAAGGATGTGGGGAAGGGGAAAACACTCAAACAACGTGAAGGTTGAGGCTTTGAGTGCCATATGGAGAGAGAAATATGCTACTATCTGCTAAAGTGCAAGAGATCAATTCTGCCCTGAGCCTGCTCCCCTCTGAATCTATGAAGTTGCCCCAGGGCTTCCTTGTTGGGTTTATAATATATGCCATTCCTCCCATCTGCTTCACTGACTTGCACCTTGTTCAGTTATTTGCACTGTGCAAAGAATTTTCCCAAGTGCGAGTGGAGAATTCACTTTGGCAGTGTTTTATCACCCACCTTGCCCAATCACTGCGCAGTCACTGCAGAGTACATGAGCTATGAGGAAACAAGTCCAAAGCTGTTTATGCTCCTATCTGTGCCCAACCAAGGCTACCAAGGCTGGGAATATAACTGAGAACTGATTTTGGAACTCACTAATGTCCAAAAAGTATAGGAGTTGAGAGCCTGGTATAGTATAGTAGGAGTAACCCAGGAGACCATCCACTTCTGTAACTTAGCAGGAACTCAGGAGCAGAATCTGGCTGGTGTGGGGGAAGAACAGATTGCCTTTGCCTTTGCTGCCACTACAGAGGTATCTTTGTATGGGTCTGGTGTTTCAGAACAAAATGGCATGCAGGAACTTCTTGCAAGGG